GTGTGTGTGTGTGTGTGTGTGTGTGTGTGTGTCTGAGTGTGTGTTTATGACACTAGGATAACTCTCCTTTATTTTCTTGTGTGTATAACTGTGTTGAGTGTCCTTTAGCACTACTCAGGCACACACACACACACACACACACACACACACTGCATGGCAATCAAGCAGGTACTCCTAAGGTAGATCACATAGATGTGTAAATTAAAGGCAGGTTAGGACTCAGAAGAACTCAGGTTTCTAAGGTAGATCTGTTATATTTGTCCAAGCCTGATAAGTTCTGTTTAATTAGCCCAGCAGGTTTATTAGGGCTGTTAAATTAGCTTTTCTTTTCAAATTACAGATTATTTTCTGTTCTTTAGTTTTGTTGGAAATTACAAATAACATTAACTTGCTTGGCATTTACATGTCCACTATGCTTTTATGACAATAATAACAATAACAAAAACCTTTTTTCAATATCAAAATATTTTTTTCAACATCATTTTTATACATTAGTTTATAAGATTTAGATATGTACTGTATATAACGTTCAGGAATTTGGGGGTTTTGTTGTGTAGTGTTGTGTGTGTGTGTGTGTGTGTGTGTGTGTGTGTGTGTGTGTTTTGTTTTGTCGCTTGTGCTTACGCTGCATTTATTTGATTAAAAATATATTTTTTTAAAACAGTAATATTGTGAAATATTATAAATATCACATTTCTTATTATTATCTATGTTGATTTTTTTTTTTTTTGGAAACGTTGCTAAAAACAATTTCAGCATTCTTTGATGAATAGAATGTTACAAAGAACAGCATTTATTTAAAATAAAAAAATTTGGTAACATTATTAATGGTTTTACTGTTACTTTTGATCAGTGTTGCATAACTGCTAAATAAAAATATCTTACTGAACCCAAATATTTAAACCAGGGTTAATATTGTAAACTAATATATAAATTTAACCTAGCTGCAAAGGCAACATTTCTTGGTACGAAATAACTAAAACTAAAACTGAAAAATACAAATATAAAAAAAAATAAATTATTAAAGTTTTAAAATTAAAATAAAAAAAGAAAATATAAAAATATTGATAAAAATGTATTGCAATGACACTAAAATACACTGCAGAATACTGCTATGGACATCATTTAAAGGCAGGGACATCTCATTAATATGTTTTATAATGAATGACGATCTGCCACTGGAATTTGTGATTTCTTTATGCTGATTGGTCATTGTGGTTTTTATCAGTCATGGAAATTGTCCGTGGCAGTGTTCTCTCCAGCATGACGCATTTTAATCTATCGCTTCTCCACGGCTCCCTCTTCATTCTAGTGAAATTACAAAACAAAATCCAATTGCATCCCCACTCCTGATATACATCTACTTATGCAGAGGCATAACAGATGCCATTTTGGTTTATTGAAATCAAAAATTATATTAGAAGTTAGAACCTGGAACCTCCATAATATAAATGAATCGTCACAGGTTGATCAGAAATACTGATATTATTGCATATTATATTAAATATATTTACTTACAGTCCTAATTGTAATGATATTGTTTACATTTCAGTTTTAAATTATATTAAAGATAATAAAAATAAATGTTCTCTTACAGACCTGAGTATTTATTCATCAAAACAGTCAAAGATTGTGTTCAATTATTTGTGAATTATTGAGGAATCAGATTCTGATTTTGCATTTTAGATTTCTGTGATGCAGGTTTTGCCCACCTGTGCATTTTCCAGAAGAGTAAAGAGTTTGCTTCAAAAGGAATATGAGATGAGAGACAGTAACATCAGTCCAGCTGACCTTTCCAGACACCCACGCCTGTGATATTTCTTTTGAATGAAACATCACACCCTTTTTGAATCAGACAGTGAAAGGTCAAAACATAACTAAGAGTACAACCATGTGGGAAAAGCAAACAGATGTACTTGATCTTTTAGAAGTTTTTGAAGATTTTTTTTAAACCCTAAGGCAAAAAGCAGAGCGCACTTTCATTTTGGGATGTATTATTAAGTTAGATTAATGAATACTTTTGGGGTTCCCACTATCAGGTCAACTTTCTATTAAAGTAATGTGGTGGACCTTGCACTATGTTTTTATTATTGCATTAAGCCCCTTTTTCACCATATCTGACAAGAAATCATTCATTTCCACTGGAGAACACTAGGAGCTGTGTGGACTTCTAATTGTATGGAATTTTTGGATCCCATTTGAGCTTTAGATGTGTTAAAATACATCAGATCTGATGACCCGATGTGATGTATTCTAACCTATGAGATATGTGAACAAAGTGAGAATTACCAATATTTTTCCACTTAAACATTATTCTTTAAATACCATTTCTGTAAAATTGGTGGTTATGAATAATTATGTCAGAAATGTTATAGTTGTGAAATAGTGTTTTTTGTTGATTAGCCCTACTTACTATGTTTTTTTACACAACTGTTGCCGCCTTACTGCATATAAGGATGATCTTTGGACTAAAAAAAAATATTTAAAAAAATGATATCAAGCCAGAGTTAATGTACACAAAACCTAAAACTATTAGAATGTTTTTGTTAATTGAAACTGAAATAAAATAAAAATATAAATATTAGATAACAACTTTAAGCACTAAAATTACTAATTGAAAATAAATACAAACTAAAACTGAAATAAAAATAAATTAACAACTAAAATAGCAACATTACAAAACATATAAAAATATATACAAAAGTACATAAAATTGAACAAATAATTTAAATGATTGTGAAAAACTGATAATCATCATATTGATAATCATTTTTGCTTTTGTGGCTGTATTCATACATTAATTATTTATTCATTTTACCATGGTGAAGTGAAGTGTCAGGGAAGTGTTTTGCAATCTTTAATATAATATAATAATTTATGTATAAACATAAAAATATATTATTTATATATGCATATTTTAAAGGAGTATATTTTGGTAGCATTTTTACTGTCTTTATTGGGGGAAAATGTATAAGAGTGTGTATTTGTGTGTTTACAATTTTTTTGTAAATTTTATAATTGTATTTAGAATTTATTGCATTGCATTGTTTAAAAAGCATTTTGCTTTATATATATATATATATATATATATATATATATATAAGGGAAGGTGTACATTTTATATATTTATTTAGACTTTCACCACTTTAATTACTATTTGGCTTTTTTGCTGTTCAGTTTAATTGATAATTTAATGATTTTGTTCAATTAAGTCTCATTTGTTGTTTATTTCAGACACAAAACAGGGTTATGGTTTAATTTGTATTTTTTAATCTTAGTTGTTGTTCATTTGGTTGATTGCTGAGTGACAGGATGGCATCACCTATCAGCAGCAATTTTGGTTTGAAATGTTTCAAAATCTTACAAAAATGTACCTAAAAATGCACCTTTCCAAAACTAATTTCTTAGAACGACTCATGTCTATTAACTCCCACTCTCTTTTCCATCATTTTATTCTTTTTTTTCGTTTATGTCCTGTGTTTATTTGCTGTTACTCTCTAAGTTGTTCTCTCAGTGGGGTTGTGGCTATAACTCAAGCTTGTGCTGTCAAAGCAGCAAACGCCCCAGGGGGATCTGGCTGTCGCCTCCCAGGCCGAGTGTCCTCTCTCTGGGTGGCCACTGTGCAGGAGGGGCCCTGTCAGATAGGAGGCTCATTGGATGGAGATTAATTATAGGCCCACAGCAGGGCTCATTAGCAATAGCCATGTCAGAATGGGGCCGCAGCACCACAAGGGACAGTCCCTCTCTCGTGTCATCCCTCCATCCCTGCTGCCCATTAGTTTGAGAGGTAAACAGGTTGAAAGCAATTTAATTTGGTCACATTATCCCGTCGACGGATGGCAACACACCCTCCTCCATTAGCAGCGGCAGAAACACAAGCCCACGAGGTCTTCTGAGATTCACCAAGCGGTGAATGTTAGCGGTGAGGGAGGGCTTCCCCTGCTTGATTTACCCGGCACAAACGCACCTGGGAGGCGTCTGAATAAACATGCTTGCATTTATCAGTCCGCCACATCAGTGGAACAAATGAGAGCTGAAATATGTCAGGCAAACGCTATTGTGTTGGACTCTCCGTTTCTTTCTTTGAGGCTAATTTGTATTCAAGGCAGTGCGCAGCGATGAGAGCGCCACTTTCACAACACAGAGGAGACTGAGAGAGCAGCCGTATCTTCAAGCACAAAAAAGTAATTTAGCGGAAATAATTCTTTTTAATACCGAGGTTGAGATGCCTCATGCTAATTAGGAGTGCCAGTGAATCAGCAGTAACGGGGGTAATTAAAGCTGTCACCGAATGTGTGTGTGCATGTGTGTGTGTGGTTGCATTCAACTGTTGCCGCCTTACTGCATATCAGCATGATCTTTGGACTGAAAAAATAATAATATTTAAAAAATTATATCAAGTCAGGGTTATCATTAACGAAAACTAATACTATTGTAATTATTTTGTTAATTGAAAACTGAAATAAAATAAAATATAAATATTCCATAAGAACTTGAAGCACTAAAATTATTAACTGAAAATAAATAACTAAATCTAAACAAAAACTGAAACAGACGTAACAGTAAACATAACAAATTGACAAAAAATTAAGTTAGTAATTCAAACTAAAACAGACAATATAAATAATATAAATATTATAAATAATTACTAATTAATTCCAAAATATTAATTAAAACTGTAATGGTATGTAAATAATACTAATTATTATGCTACAAATTAAGCTACTTTGTTTGACAAGTGTAAATGTATAAATGAAAGTGACTCTATATATAAAAATGCACAAATTGGAATCGAATGCTGGTTCGAGCCCTGAACTTTTTCAACTCTGCATGTACACCTGGAAGCAAATGTTTAAAATATATATTAATAATAATAAAATTACCTATATTGTGCATTTGATTGTACTGTATATTCAAAATACTGCTGTGCAATAAGTAAAAGTAAATTATATATCTAAAAGTTTATTCAATTAAATCATTATTTGTTCAATTAAATAATATTATAATTATAACTATTATTAAATACATTGAAAAAATAGTAGTAGTAGTAGTAGTAAAATACATTACAAAGTATATTTTAAATAATTGTTATAATACTTTGTTATATATTTCAATGATGTTTTATATCAGTTATAAATAGTACATTATATAAAATTTATACATTTTGTGAATATGTAACAAATAAAACTCCCTCATTTTAAGAGGTAACTGAGTGAATTGTAAATGCTGTGGTGCTTTGACTGTATGGTCAGTGATTAAATATTTAACCAGTAGATGGCACCATTGCCCACTATAGAGAAATATTAATTGCATGGGCAATTTGTACTTGACCACCAGCAACAGATATTTGTATATAGGCTGATTTAGTTTCTGTGTCTTTCTGTTTTCTTTTCTTACTACCTGTCTTTCTTACAGCTGGATCATTATCCTCCCGTCAGCTACAGCCTGCCAGAAGCCTCAGACACACAGTTCACCCTGGTCAAGTCACTCTTCCTGGGTAAAGTCTTTGGTAAGTGCTCTCTGTTCCTTTGCAAACTCCCCCAGGCTTGGATTAACCGGTAACCTCAAATTTTTTGTTTGTTTGTTTCACTTTATTAACAATAAACTGTATTTGTAAGACAAGAGCATAGGTTGACGATTATATAGTATCCACAGAATATTTTGGCAACACTTGCCTTAAAGCCTTTATGCATTATAAAAGTAGTTTTAATGCATTAATTATGCCTTGTAATGCACCTTATGCATTGTACAATCTAATGAATAATTGTAACCACAGTTTATACATTATAACACTTATCAATTCATTGTTACACTATGCATTTCAAATTTGGTTATAATATTATTTACGACAAAATATAATGTATTACAACACACATTATGAATAATTATAATGTATTATACCCTTTAATAACCTTTATTAAATAATAAGCGAGTACACCGTGAATCCATTTTCCAAACCGTGTTTTTGGCTTATCCTGAATCACTACGGTACACCTATAATAGATGTTTATATTCAGACTATTTTAGACTGGTTTGGTAGGTACCGCTGCGGAGTAGCCCAGTACCTGCGTGATTCGTCATAGACGTAAACAGAGAGAAGTAGTTCCGGCTACAATGTTCTTCCGCAAGACGCATGCAGTTCTGTTTATTAACCGCTAGAGCGCCAAAAGCTATTTCTGATCTTTTAACCTTTAAGAGTTGAAAACTCAAACCCTTAGAAATTCAAAAGGAATTGTGCTATTGTGAGTTGGTGCAGACAGAAATTTGTATTAAAACACTGTATTGCCTCAGTTCAGCCACTAGGTGGTAATAGATGTATGGCATAATATTAATAATTTATAATTTAGTATTAATTCTGTATATGCTTTGTTATGCTGAATGCTTGTTTACATTACAACAATTTCTGCAGATACAAATTACATCTTATTTCACAGAATTAGTAGGAATTAGTAGAATTATTTGATTCCTTCTTTTTCCAGTACAATACTTTGTAGCAGTTCACAAAGGAAGTATGTGAAGGAAATTATATACCTTGCTTTGTGAACTCTGGGGGCACAGAAGGTCAGGAATGTAATTTCCTTCTGCCAGTCCACAGCGTCCTTGAATGCCCTCTAAAGATGTCAGTGGCTTTAAGACAATCGCTTAAAGGTCTCTCACCCGGAGACATATAACAGACATGCACTTTCTTCAATGAATAACCATGAGGCACCAACCAGAGCCCATTATGCTCAATTCAGCGTTGCCTGCTGGCACTCCAAAAACAGCTAAGTGACCCACTGTTGTTACCAATAGCAGGAGGCGGTTCAGTCACACAAACACCCAAAGCCTGGTGGCATTATCCACCTACATATTAATTTTTAGCAAAAATCATGTACAGTGGAAAGCAAAAACTGTTTCATCTCTCAGCCAAATCTGGTGTACTGGTCCGCCAGAAAACTTCTAATCTTCTTCCTGTCTGCGGGCGCATAATCTCAGCCGTGTCTATCAGAGCGTGCTGTCTTCCTGTTTCCACAGTCTCTGGAGCCTCTGCATCAATTCATGCTGAAACTGTCCACTGCCCTACTTGCCTCATCAATCATTCATGGCTGGAGACCCCTTTCACATCAATAAGCCACACTCTTTCCGCATGTTCTGCTTAAGGCGATGTCCATGGTTGACCTGCAAGCTGTTTGTCATGGAATATTTACCTTAACATATTTGGGAGGAACAGCTGTGGTCCCATAATGCCGTTGACATGTGGCTAGAGCTTTGTGCTTGCAACATCCTACTTTAAGTATTCGTTGATGCTTTTTGTGCAGTGGAAAGGAAGAGTTTGTGATGGTCCTGTTTTTAAGTGAATTTTACATGTGATAAAATGGTATGTGGTAACAAAATGCTGTGCTATGATATTCTTTTAGTGTATAGTATAAATTTATGCTGCAAATTGGGATGTGGAATCTAGTCTTCAGAGCTTTCCGACATTGTTTTCAACTTCTTGCTGTTAGACAAAAAGCACAAAATCATGGCATACACTAATATTGATGAAATAGTATTTAATTAGATTGCACAAATATATTTTGATATTGGATGAAATACAAGTCATCGCAGTGCATTCTGGGATTGCCTTTGCCACAAAGGTTATATGCAGGGCTCAACAGTATTCAACATTTTTTTCAGCTGGCCAATAGTTCAGATTTTTTTCTTTGCCCTGACAAAAGTTTATCTGACCTCACCACAAAATAACAATAATTTTAAAAAAATTTAGAAATGCATTTATTAATTGCTAGAAATGTTTGTAATATAAATGTTTTCCTTATCAAAATGTTCCTTATATTTGTTGTCATTACTTTTTTAATGAAATTGTAATTACAAAAGGAAAAAATGCAACAATCTAGAAATTATACAGATGTTATGTAACTTCTTAAATGTATAAATATTTTTGCTGGAAAACAGACATACTGTAGGTTGCAAAACATTGATTTGTAGTTTTTACAACACAAACATTCTTTAGCAAACATTCTTGCTAATGCTTTCTATACTTTTCTAGTCATTTTTACAAATATGACAAAATATAATTTGTTAAACTAGCTAAATAAATTCTTAAAATGACACTACATATATACTTATACATATATACTTATACATGTGTGTGTGTGTGTGTGTGTGTGTGTATACAGTATATATATATATATATAGATATATATAGATATAGACTATATTAAAGAAAACATTTAAGTTTGTATCCTTACTTTTGAGCCCTGTATATGTGATACAGACTAATTTATTCAAATTTAATTCAAATAAAGCTATCTTAAAACAAAGCAATTATGGAAGTATAACTTTTGGAACATCCTTCATGTTGTGAAAACCTATAATGCTTTAAAATGCTGCAAATGACTTCCAGTCACATTTCATATCAAACCCTGAGATGAATTTAGATTATGTCAAACACTGTGAATTCAATGTTCATTCTAAAGAGAGCACGTGGGAGTTTCTGGGCAATGAGTAAGTTGATGATCTGGCAACCTCAATCTGTCATGCCTACATGCTCAGAATGAATCAAGACAGCTTGTTATAGAAAACAAGAACTCCTGACATGGAGACCTGAAAAAAAGTGAAAGTAAGTTTGTGAACTCCATAAGCGCTGTGACAGGAAACACTGGCTGCTGACATCCTCCAGTTGTTCAGGTGATTGTTTTCTGTGTAGGCTGATGCAGGATAGCACTGCAGGGATTCGTGAGTGGCGCAGAAACTCGTTTAAGCATCCAGATATAAGTTCCTCTCAGAGCCTGTATTCATGAATCAGGCTAATTGGACATTGAGCTGAGTGTGCTATCTGTGTCTCCGGACCATAATTGCATTTTAGGGAATCAGAGCAATAAGACTGGAAGATGAGAAAAGATTATTTGAAACTGGCTGAAAGCATACAGCATTCGTGATTGTGTTGTTGTCTTTAGGTACTTTATATGTATCAGGGTGATGCAGTGCATAGTATTGTTTTTCTCATTCAAATGTGTAATAATTAGGGCTGTCAATACCTTCTGTATTCATATTTATTTATGATTTAGTCAGGTTGTTTTTTGTTAGTTTGTTTGTTTTGGTATTTAATATATTTAGGTCGTTTAACACCTTAAATTGTGAAGAACTTTATAATGTTACAAAAGATTTCTGTTTCAGATATACAGTATGTATAGATGCACATATACACAGAGACACACACAAAACAGCTGTGTATGTGCTGTATACATTTTTAGAATTCATAAAATTATTAATATTTATGGCAGTTATCACTGAAATTACACCACATCATTAATTTTGCACAGTCATATTGAATCAATTCAGCATATTTAATTAATCATATGCTTAAATGCATTGATTTTGACAAACCCAATAATAAAATAAGTGTGGTTAGGTCAGACAGTGTTTTAAGGGAAAACTGCAGTATGTAGTACTTTGTTCATTTGATATGCTGTTGGCAAAGATGTTGATGATACAGCAGTTTGAGCTTTTGAGAAACCACATGCGGTCTCCATCTCTCTTGTTTCTCCTCTGCGTCTCTCCTCTGGTGCCAGGCTTTTAGTCTTATCGATGGCACTAGGAGACTGATTTGATCAATACTGAATACTTGCTATATCAAGGTCGTCTGCAAGAGGATGATTTTGAGCAGAGAAAAAAAATTTTGTTTGCCTTTTATATGAAATATTTTTTTTATATTTATAGTGTCTTGCTAAAGCAAACACATTTTTTTGTTATTGTCCATACAGCGTTAGTGGTTTATTCTGAACATCTTAAAACAAGTGTTTGACCTCACAGCTATGAATGATACCTTGAAGGAAATGTTTCTTTATTGGAACAGATTTGAAGAAATTTAGCATTACATCACTTGCTCACCAACTGATCCTCTACAGTGAATGGGTGCCGTCAGAATGAGAGTCCAAACAGAAGATAAAAACATCACAATAATCCACACAACTCCATCAATTAACATATTGTGAAGTGTAAATCTGTGTTTTTGTAAGAAACAAATAGATCAAGGTGTTTTAAACTGTCAATTCTGGACAAAATATGGCTAAGTCCATAATCCATAATAATGCTTCCTCCAGTGAAAACATTCCCTGTTATCCTCTCACATCAGAATCCTCAGACATAATTGTTTGCAAGTGTTTTGAACTGTTTTTGCTAATAAGTGGTGCTTGATCTGTGCATATTTCTCTCCTGATTCAGACGAGATGATTTTTCACTAGAGCATGCCGTAATATGGATATATGTATTTTAGCAACAGTTTAAAGTTAATGGTGAATTTGTTTATTACAAACACAGATTTTCACTTTACAAGACATTATTGATCGACAGGAGTCCTGTGGATTATTTGGACTCTCATTCTGATGGCACCCATTCACTGCTGAGGATCCACTGGTGAGCAAGTGAATAATGCTAAATTTCTTATTTATATCTTGGATGGCTGGAGGGTGAATAAATCTTCAGCAAATTTACATTTTTGGATGAACTATTCCTTTAAATCATGCTGTT